CTCCATATTCTCCCAATACATCAACCTTCCTGGTCGCAGGGCCATCAAGAGTCATCATTCAAACTAATCCTTGCCAATGCCCTCCATTCCCTTGGTCCCTTTTTGTTCTAGCTTTTCCGCCTGGAAGACCCCAACCCTCCTAATCTCACCTTCCACCTTCTCCTGCACCTGAGCTGCAAGGTGATGCCAGAGAAAATCAAGCAAACTGTAAATCAGCACATGTGTAGGAAGATAGTGACCTCCAAGGCCTCCAAGGCCTCCAAGGATGTCCAAGTCCTAATCCCTGGAACCTGCAAATATGTCGCTTTATGTGGCAGGTGTGATTAAAGTAAGGATCTTGAGATGGGGAGCTGTTCCTGGATTAGCTGGGTCGACCCAGTGTCATCACAAGGGTCCATCTAAGGGGAAGAGGGACGCAGCAGAGTCAGAGGAGACATGATGGCAGAAGCAGAGGTCAGCATGGCGCCATCATGGGCCTCAAAGATGGAGGAGCTCCTGGTCCCCTGGGCTCACAGGATGGAATTGGGGGCAGCAAGCCTGATGCAACAGAGGGTCCGAATTGAACAGTGCAGGGAGGCAGATGAAGTGGTGGAAAGAGGTTGGACCAATTGGGTGGCACCGTGCTTTTTTATAGTATCTTAAGATCAAACGCCCAAGGCCATGGCACAGCCCAATTAAGACTGAGCTCAAAATTAGATCAGCATGTTGCCAGGGAAGACCTACTCGGCCCCCTCCCAGGTGTGCCCTGGCCCCAGTTCTGAAAGAGGTCCACCTCTGGGAGATGTTTTCCTTCCTTCCCCTAGTTATGTCTGGTCCTTCTTGGAAAAGAGCAGTCATTTGGGACAAATGAAAACTGGTTCATCTGGATGAGTAAAATATAGACAACTCCCGCTTAGCTGAGTGTGGCATATCTAAAGATTGTAGAAAATGTTGGATCTCAGGAGGCTGCTTCCTTTTGAACTTGACCACAGAGGTAACAATGATGCCCTCCTGGGGTGTCCCTCAGCATCTTGAGGCAAATTAGCCTTTGGTCCAAGCTGTTCTGGGTCTGCCCCAGCTGCCATTTCTAATGTCCCTATGGCCTTAAATCACATAGAAAGGTCCTCTGGATCATCTGGTGGGGTAAATTATTTGAGTTTCTGTCCCCTTCTTTTAGTCCATCTGTCCACCCAGCCATCCATCAGTCATTCAGCAAACGTATATGAAGATCCAACCTGGGCTCAAATCTGGGGGGTGTTCTCTGAGGGTACCCAGAATGAGTATGTGATACAGCCTCATTTCCTCTACACTCCAGGAGCTTATTGCCCATCAGAGAAGCGGATCCATTTGTGGTCTGTAAGTAATAGTATCACTAGCCATCCTGGATATGACTGCCTACTCTGTTAGCTCAGGTAACAAAATACCAGAGACTGACTTAAACAATCGAAATGTACCTTCTCATGGTTCTGGAGGCTGGAAGTCTTAGATCAGGGTGCCAGTGTGGTTGGGTTCTGGGAAGAGCCCTCTTCCTGGGTTTCACCGCACCGAGTCCTCACGTGGCAGAGAAAAAGAAAGAACAAGCTGTCTGGTATCTCTTCCTTTAAGGACACTAATCCCATCATGGGGCCCCATTCTCATGACCTCATCTAATATAATCACCTCCCAAAGGCCCCACCTCCAAAACCCATCACACTGGGGTTTGGGCTTCAACATCTGAATTGAGGGGCGGGGCGCATAATTCTGTCCACAGCACCTCGCACAGGCTAAGCTGGTAAAGAGCGTTATCCCTGATGCTTGCCAGCTCCCCAGCCAGACATCACTGCCCTCATTTAAGATGCAGGAGGGCAGCTTAGAGAGGCTGATGAGCCCAGCCCAGGACAGCAGAGCAGGCTCTGATCCGCGGCTGGCCACTCCATCCCTGGCAGGCTGGTTCCCCAGGGTGCCCCCCTCCCCCATACCCTGGAAAGGGGAGGGCCCCCCCCACCACAACAGCTGCGGATGTCTCCCAGCCCCGGCTCCCAGCAAACGCCAGCATCCACCAAGCCCCTTCCCCGGCCCAGCAAGGTTCTGGAGAGCCGCACAGGCGGCCTGGCGGTGGCCTCAATGAGCAGAAAAGGTCTGTTTGGAGGAATTTTAGGAAATGGGGCTGGGGGGGAGGTACGACTTACCTGCAACCCCTGGAGTTGACCACATGGGGCCGATTTACACAAAGAAGACTTCAAGAGGAAGAGACCATCCATCTTTAATGCTCTGCTCCCTGGGGTGGAGGACTCAGGACCCCCCAGGGTTCACAAGCCTGCCCCCCCACTGAGGCCAGGAGGTTCACCGGGAACAGAGGCAGGGGGGCAGGGAGAGAAGGAGAGCAGAGATGAGGAAGGTTGAGGGAGGAGCTCTGGCCGATTTACCATCTGGTTGGAGAGGCTGCTTTGCAACACGAAGGGTGAGCGGTAATTGCCCTCCACCGGCCTGTGGCTTCGGACGGGAGGCTTCAGCTCAGCGCTGGCGCTTGGTCACTGGGCAGGCCTGGCTTGGCGCATCCTCTCTCTAGGCTGCAGCTTCCTTTTCTCGGTCATGACGGGGTTCAGGGCACATTACTCCAAAATATGGCACCTTGGCATACTGAATAGTTTAGGTGGAAGGAATTTGAGGAACAGCAGGTGCCAGGACCCCCGCCCTGCCCGTCTGCCCTGAAGCAGGACCTGAGACCCTCAGGTGGGAGTTGTCCTCCCTCTACCCGAGGAAAGGAGCTCCTGCATCCCCAGGACCCCAAGAGGGATCTAAATAGACCTCACTATTTCCCCAATTTACTGCACTTAGTTCATAGCCTCTTGTTTTCCCGATATCTTTCACCAACTTTCTGCTTTTCATCCCACTGTGCATCCCAGTGCATAAAAACACTCAGTTTGAACCGTTCCTTCGGGTGTTTCCCGAGGCAAGGCTCCCGTGTCATGGAAAACTTATAGCTAATAAGTGTGTATGCGTTTCTCTTGTGACGGGAGCCTGAGCTGAGAACTTAGAAGGGTAGAGGGAAAGAATACTTTTGCTCCCCCGTAGCCACAATAGATCTGGACCTCTCCTCCCAGCTCCAACCATTGCTTCAGAGATTGGGCTCTGGGTTCTGAAACCTGGCTTCACCATTTCCCTGCTGTGTGACCTTGGACAAGTTGCTTCGTGTCTCTGAGCCTCTGTATCCTTATCTGCAAAATGGATGTCATAGTCTCACTCACCTCATGGACTGGTGTGTAGTTTAAGGGCAATGATGTGGAAAGGCTTAGGACAGCACATGCTATATAGTAAACACTCACTCAAGATGCGCTGTTCCTATGATTATCGTGATTATTAACAGACTGTGATTCCAAGGCTGGGTGCCTCTGAGTGTTTCTCCGCACACAGGAAGAGTATTTCTGTAAGCTGTGGCAACCCGAGGCCAGGATCTTGAAGCTCAAAATCCTGCCCGGCTCAGGGGTCTATTCCTGGCCCCACAACAACCTCTTGGATAGACCCCCCACACACAAAGAGACAACTGGTCAACTGATAGAGAAGAGCTGCAGAACACAGGAGGGGTGCAGGGGCTCGAGCCCCGGGGGGCACATGGGCAGGCAGGACTCTCTGGGGTCCGTCCCAAACTGTCCTCTGTCCTCTGCTGTGTCCACACACCATCAGCCTCTTAAGAGTCCTCTTTTTCTTTTTTTTAAAGATTTTATTTATTTATTTGACAGAGAGAGAGACAGTGAGAGAGAGAAACTAGGGGGAGTGGGAGAGGGAGAAGCAGGCCTCCGCTGAGCATGAAGCCCGATGTGGGGCTCGATCCCAGGACCCTGGGATCATGACCTGAGCCGAAGGCAGCCGCCCAACCGACTGAGCCACCCAGGCGCCCCAATAGTCCTCTTAATAGGCAACCCACTTCTGTTCTTTTTTACTTCAATATATGCATTTTGTAAATGAAAACATAACTGGCAAATCTTGAATAGAAGTAAAACTGAAACGGTAAAATGAAACCGGAACTACAGTCAGGTCCAGCTGGATTCTTTGTCCTTTCCAGGCTACTCTTTGATTTGCAAGCATTGGAAAGGTGTCTGAGACTTACTAACCCCAAACGGAGCTTTCCTTCTGGACCCAGTTGGAGGGATGGGAGGAGGACTGAGAAGGAAAAAGCGGGGGCACCTGGGTGGCTCAGTGGTTTAAGTGTCTGCCTTCCGCTCAGGTCATGATCTCGGGTCCTGGGATCGAGCCCCGCGTTGGGCTCCCTGCTCAGCGGGAGTCTGTTTCTCCCTCTCCCTCTGCCCCCTCCCCGCCACCATGCACTCATTCTCTCTCTCAAATAAATAAAATCTTAAAAAAAAAAAAGGCAAGCAAGAAAGAAAAGGAAACAGCATTCCCACGCTGGGCACAGTGCTGGGTAATGCCAGGCCCAGGAGCCACCGGAAATCTTCCTGCAGTTTGGGGATGTGCTAGGGCTCCAGAGGTCCTGGCAGGGGGTCCTCAAGATGTCCTTAGGCAGGATCCTGAGTCCCCCAAACCTCCAGAACAAGGACCCACTCACACCCACCCCCACTGGTGAGAGCACCAGGCTGTGGCACCCGTGTCCCCCAGGGTTCCCTGCCCCCACCCAGCAGTGTCCCCTGCTCCTGCAGCCCAGAGCAGGCAGATTCCCACACCCCTAGTGTCCCTGGGGCCTACCTCTCACTGCTTCCCACTCAAGTATCCTGAGCTGCCAACTGGGGAGGTCTCAAGTCACCATCTAGAGCCTTCTCTCCTGGTCCCTCCTTGAGGTATTTCAGGTCCCAAGAGGGAAAGCAAGCCCTGAAACCTGAGAAGAAGCTATCCTTGGTGACACGCCTGAGATGTGCATTAATAGAAGCCTCCCTCAGGCCCCTGACACGTCTGGGCAGCTGCTCAGCCCCGTCTGGTGTCCCTCAGCCCCTAAGCCAGCCCCCTCTGGCTCAGCCGGACACACTAAACTTAGCTTCCACCCCCCAGCTCGATCATCGCCGCCACCTCCCCAGCCTGGCCACCACCTGCCCGGGAGACACTGCCACCAGACCGTGCCCAGGGCACCCACTCTTCCGCCACCACCATGTCCCAGACCCAAGCGCCGAAGGTCCGCGCCACCCTCTTCTGCATCCTGGTGGGCATCGTGCTGGCCTTGGTGGCTGTGGTGACCGACCACTGGGCCGTGCTGAGCCCCGAGGTGGAGCACCACAATGCCACCTGCGAGGCGGCCCACTTTGGCCTCTGGCGGATTTGCACCAAGCGTATTGTCATGTCTGACAGCAAGGACAAGACCTGCGGACCCATCACCCTGCCTGGGGGTAATGTACCCACTCTCTGATCCCATCCCCACCCCCTGCCCTTCCTCATCCCCCGCCCCCGGAAAAGGTGCCTATGGGAAAGAGGGCAGGTGTCCCTGCCTCAGAACAGAAATGCCGCCCAGCCCTCTGCGCCCAGGGAGGAGGATCTGAAGTGCGTGTGTCATCCTGGAGGCCAGAGCCGGCTTGTAAACTGAGGGCGTTTGTCTCTAGCTATTTCTGTCCTGCTGAGGCTCCCGGCTTTTCACCCCGAGCCCAGGGCTGCACAGGTGGGACCAGAGGCTCAGGAAAGAATCCGTGGCTCTACCAGACGAGAGGCTTCTGCTCTCCCCAGCACAGACAGGCTAAATGGCCCTAAGTCCTTGGGCTGAAGGGACACGTGTGGCGGGCACGCTCATTCCACAGCCTCCAGTCTGGGCGTGAGACAGGATCAGTCACACAATGTATATGGCGTAGGGCAAATTGGAAACGCAGGGCTCCTTGTGATTATTCTTAAGAGTTTCAAGATGGCAACAGTGAAGCCTGGAGCCAAGTGTGGGGCCCTTGCCTGACCGCAGAGGCCACACATCTGTGAAGCAGGACCTGGTTGTAGACCTGCTTTTTGTCAGAACCATCACTCCTGTGCATTCTCTTAGCCCAGACCCCTTCAGAGCTGGGAAGCCTGTCCTCCTGCTCAAATGTAAGTGCGTTCCTCAATCCAGCCCCCCAGTAGGACTGAACTGCACATCAAAGGTGAGCTCCTTGTCAAAAATACCTGGTATGAGGGTGACCAATCTATTCTGCAAATGGGGAACCCTCCACATTCATAGCAGACAGAGCCCATGCTGAGCAAAGAGCCCTGTGTGGAGAATCAGAGGTCTGGGCTCCGTCATACATGGCCCACGACCCCCCCACCCCCACAGTGACTCTGGGGTCAACAAAGCCCATGCAGTTTCTGCTGTCTCCTGTAAAACCCAGTGCTTGGGTTCAGCAACATCAAGTCCCTTCCAGTTGCTTACCGGTGTCACTGTAAGGTGGCAGTGGACCAGGGTGAGTACAGTGACCCACCTGATTTTCAGAATCATTTCCTCTGTGATCAGACTGGGTGTTCCTTGAACCCCGCCTTTCAAGGAAGTCCATGCTAAGTCCCCAGAGATCTTGCAGTCTGTGTGTGGGACAAGGGAGCCCAAACTCCATTCCTCTACTTCTCTTTTTCGTCCTCTTTTCCCTCCTGCTGGCTCTAGAAAACCCCTGCCTTGCTCATTCCCCCTCGATACATGGAAGACTCATAAATACCCAGCTGTCTTAGAAACACTGAGTCCCCGGGCTGAGGGCTTTAACAGACGTGGACATGTGCTTTTGAAGGGTATCACATAGCTCACAGGCCCACGCTCCTCAGCCAGGGCCGAGCACGCCATAAACAAATGCATCGTCCGGCCAATTCCCATGGGTAGGGCAGGACAGGGTGAGGCAGATTCTCTCCGGACTGGGCAAGGGAATGCACTGTTATGGTCCTGTCCACCTGTCCTCAGAAGCACCTGCCTTTTAAAGTCTGGTGAGTTTATAGAGCAAATGAGCAGGGAGGCGAGGCAAGTCCATACAAGGAAGAGACAAACGAGCAGGACGTTGGCTGTAGAGGACCAGCAGGCATGGTTTGGCCTTGAGCCTGACCACAGTGTATCTCTATGCCTTCTTGCCCTGGTGCAGAGTGAATCCTCCCTCCTACACTTTCGAGCCCTGCCCTACCCTCCGACAAGCGTCTGAAATATGTTCCTGCCTTCTCCCCTCTCCTTTCTCTGCAGATGGACACCTTTTTCCTTCCCCACCCACCTTTCCTGTGCTCTGTGGGATTACTCCTTGCTGCAGGGAGGAAGAGAGTTCATACATGTTCTCTCATTTATTATTAACAGGAGTCATAACCACAAACACAAATCTAGTACCATCTGCCAAATACTGTTTTCAGTGCCTTCCATATTTTTACTTTGAATGACATCAGAAGAAGTGGCAGAGTAAGAATCTCCAAAAACCCTCTTCTCCATTAAAAAATGAGAACTCTGGCAAAAAGGGTCAGAATAAACTTTTTCAGAATGCTGGAAATTAACCAGTCTTGCAGCAATCCAGCGAGGGCTTCTTCGAGAAAAATAGGTGAATCTCAGTAAGAATGGTGAGTTCTGTGGTGCTTTAACTTGCTCTATTCCTGTTCCCCCTCCCCAACTCTGTCATAGCCTTGAAAACCAACAGCCTGCAAACAGTGAAAATTCAGCAGCCTGGCAGCCCCCAAAAGGGACAGATGGGACCAGATCTCTTTCAAAGCCTCATTCCCAGAGAATTGTCATTATTTGATCTGTCTGGTGGTTTCCTGGAAGTCCCCACTTGCAAGGCTGTCTTTATTTGACCTGATGCTGAGCTCACTCAGTGGAAACAGTCTTTTTCCCAGGGGGCATTTGTCAAAAACAATGAGAAACAACTGTTTAATAGCATAGCTTCCTGAAGCAGTATGCAACAGTCAGGGCAAACAATAGGCTAACCAAAAAACTAGAGAATGAGATGTCCACAGGTGGCTTTGAAAAGCTCCAACATATTCTGGAGAATTTAGGCCTTGTGCATGCAGAGCACTGTATGGTGTATAAGGAAAGGCCTGAGAAGGCCCTAAGCTCTCACCTTGGGCTGATCTTGAGGCTGTGGGCAAGCAGAAAGTGAAGGCTAAAGCAGAAATGTAGGCTGCTTGGTGGAGTGCTTAGCTCTCTGCTTAGCACAGAGCCCCTCAGTAAAGACTGGGAGACGTATTCATTCCAAGCATTTTACAAAATGTGATCTGATTACCAAACTAACTGAGCAGAGACTTCAGTGGTCCCACATGACAAAGGAAACAGACTTTACAAAATTAATTAAGTCACTCAACAAACAATAACAAACAGCAACAAGAACAAACCCTAGGGAAAGGTGGGACTCTGATTTCCAGAGTTGCTCATTATATTGTTTAAATATTCCAGCTTTAAATTTAAATTTTTAGTTAAAAAAAAAAATCACAAGACATGCAAAGTAAAACAGTATGGCCCATATATAAGGGGGATAAAACCAATCAATAGATCGTTAAGAAAGCCCAGATATTGGACTTACAGACTTTAAATCAGCTATTTTAGATATGTGCGAAGAACTAAAAAAAAGTCTAAACAACTAAAGATGAGAATGATGTCTCATGATAGAGATTATCAATAAAGAGATAGAAATTATTGTAAAAGGACCTAATAGCGTGAGTCAGGCCCTGTGTTGCGCTCTGCACTGGGCATGGAGCCACTTAAAAAAAAATACTTTGGGGTGCCTGGGTGGCACAGTTGGTTAAATGTCCAGCTCTTGGTTTTGGCTCAGGTCATGATCTCAGGGTCATGAGATCAAGCCCCACATCGGGCTCCATGCTCAGCACAGAGTCTGCTTGAGATTCTCTCTCCATCTCCCTCTGCCCCTCCCACTTGTACTCTCTCAAATAAATAAATAAATCTTTAAAAAGAACACACACACACACACACACACACAAGAAAATAAACAAAAGTACCTAATAGAAATTCTGGAGTTGATATTAAAAAAAAAAAAAGAAAAAAGAAATTCTGGAGTTGAGAACTGTAATAATTGAAATGGAAAATTCACTACAAGTGTTCAATAGCAGATCTGAGCAGGTGCAAAAAAGAATAAGTGAACTTGAAGAAAGATCAATTGAGATTAGCTGGTGTGAGGAATAGACAGGAAAAAAAAGAAGAAAAATGAACAGAGCCTCAGAGTCCTGTGGGATAGTATCAAAGGTACAATATACACATAATGGTGGTCCCAGAAGGACAGGAGAGAGAAAGGAGCAGGAAGCAGAAAAGCAGAAAAATATGGCTGAAAAGTTTCCAAATTTGATGAAAAATACTAATCTACAAATCCATGATGCTTAATGAATTCTAGTAGGATAAATCCACACCTAGACGCGTCATGATCAAAACTGTTGAAAGATAAAGACACAGATTCTTGGAAGCAGCAAGAAATGACTTATCACATACAAGCACTCTTACTAAGGTAGGATTTACAGCTGATATTTTTCCAGAAACCATGGAGGCCAGAAGGCAGCAGGATGACAAATAGAAATATGAGGTCCATACTATTATCATCATCCCATCTCACAGATAAACAAAATGAGGCACAGAGAGGTTGAGTAACTTGACCAAGGTCACACAATTACCATGGCAGAGCAGCTAGAGTTCATATCCCTAAAATTCACCTTCTTGGTCACTACATTATACTATTTACAACAACCCAGGAAGGAGGCTCTCATTCTTCAGGTGGTTCTCATTCTACTTGTGGGAAAACTGAGGCTCAGAGTGGCGTTCCCAAAGCTAACCTTCTCACAAGTTCAACACCCAAGTCTCAAATCCAGAGCCCCTTTTCCCTCTAGCCCATTCCCATACAGTATCCCCCAGTGTGCATACAAACACAACTCCTAAAAGCTGCTCATCCAGGCATACACGTAAGAGGCCAACTTTTGACACGACATGGTTTAGAAGAAGCTTGACCAGGACCTGGTTCAACAGAGACTTTTCAAGGTCCCATTCAGCCATAGAATGCTGGGGGCTCTGAGGACATAAATTGTCTAGTTTGGTTTTTCCCACTGACCCAAAGAGTTTTAGAAGAACTGTCATGCAAAGATCAACATCTGAGGTCAATTCTAATGCCTTCAGAATAAGAGTAGGGTCTTCCCTCATTGTCAGGAGAGGTTGTCTGTCTGAAAGCCCAAGTGAATCACATCCCCTGCCCCTGGGTTGGACAGAATGCTGTTTCTCTCTGGCTCTGTCTCTTTAGGCTAAGGCAGCAGACTGTCCCAGTACCCCACTTCCCGTATGGCTCACCCTCTCTTCCAGAACCTGGTGCAGGAACTGGAGCCATATGAAGGAACATCATGTTATGGACCCCAAGAATTTCAGGGGCTCCCTTTCCCATCCACATGAGCTAATGCTAGAGACCCAGGCCATAACCAGACTTCCCCACCTCCCCCATAGAACAGCAATGCTCTGACCCTGGGGGCTGGGGTCTTGGGGATTTCTTCAACCCACTGGATAAAAGTCCTCAATCAGAGTGGTAGGGGGAGACAGAGCACAGAGAAACCACTGTCGGGAGCATCAAGAACTTCTTTTACAAAAAGGGTGAAGACAGCCCTGCCGTTGATGCAACTAACAAGTAAGTGAAATATTTTTTCCAACCCTGAAGTCACTAGTTCCCTTGGTTTTGTGTAAAACAAGGTATTTTTTGAAATATATTAAAGTCTGCATCAACCAGCACTGGGTACACTGATACATTCTCAGTGATAACCCAGAAGCATCCCCTAACCGTATAAGTTACCCCAACTATCAGAGGAAACCCGCATTAACTCAAGTTCAGGTTGGAGTTAAACATGCCTTCTGTTTTAGTTCTTTGAAAGTGGCACAGTTAGGTATAGTTCTGTGTAGTCATTCCCTTAACCAGAATACTTGCTTAACCAGAATACTCCAACCCCAGTCAAGCTTAATAGCTGAGTTCACCATATTATTTTTATAGATTTATTTTTGTTTATTAGAGAGAGAGAGAGAACGCAGAGGGGAGGAGCAGAGGGAGAGGGAGAGTCTTAAGCAGACTCCACACTGCGTGCAGAGCCACACACGGGGCTCAGTCTCATGATCCCAAGATCATAACCTGAGCTGAAACCAAGAGTTGCACACTCAACTGACTGAGCCATGCAGGTGCCCCAAGTTCACCATATTTTTTAAGGGATAACCCACTTAAGTTTTTAGACCACTGAGTCTTCTGTTTATGACAGACATTTCTGAAATACAGAAAAATAGAAATACAAATATTAGAGTCACCATGAGCCATTTGCAGAGACAAAGGAGGCTGGAGGAACTTCCAACTTCCCAGATTATTGGTCCCAGATCATCACCCCGACACTAGTATCTCCACTGATTTGATCCAGAGCACTTGTTTCTCTGATCCAGAGCCCCAGTAAAGGGGCTATAATCCATCAAGACCAAGCTCTGAGCCCTGAGCTTTGTGCAGCTGTAATGGAAGCCAGGGAAAGGCATGGAAGGATCAGAAAGGCAGAAGCAGGAAGGCTCAGAATCTCCACAGTTGTCACCGAGCTGTCACTGCCTCTCTCCTCCAAGCCCCTCACCTGTGACTAAGTGGCCCACACCGGGCCCATCTCTGATGTCCTTCCTTTTTAAGTTGCTCTTGATGCTCAGTGTACCCAGTACCCCCAGACAAAGGGGCAGAAGCGAGGTCTGCCCACCTCAAAAGGAGCCTGGGCAATCTTGAGTGACACAGGCAGATACCCGGCTTGATATTTCCCGAATGAGCATCTTGTTGGTGCTGGACATGTCTGAAATGACACCTGGGTCTGACGTGCCCCCACCCCTGCTGGGGTCATCAGGGGCCACAAAGGGGCTTGTGGTCTTCCATGGACAGCCTTGGGGCCCTAGAGCAGATGTTACCCCCAGGCTCAGGGCAGAAGACGCTGGCCTTGCTCATGTGCTAAGTTCAAGAGAGGGGACAGGGTTGGCCCATCCATTCTCGCGCCCTACGTTCAGCCACATCAGAGAGAAGCTGAGACTTCCAGATGTCCTGTGTGGGAATCCCACCCACTGGGTGCCCCCCACCCCACACAATGTGCTATCATTTACTAGGGGAGGAGAGGGAATAGGAGTGTCCCTGGGTCACTGAAGGGGAAATCTCCCCCAGAAAATCCACAGGCTGGCTTCCCCAGACGGGCAGCCTCCCACCACAGTCTGAGCTAAGATGGTTTTCATGCAAGCGGCAGTTTGTCGGGATGGAGCCCGCCGCTGATCTTGGGGGGCTGACAACACAAACACTACGTGTGCGAGAAGGGCTCAGCAGCCCGGAACTGCCAAACAGCGATGCTTTGGCCAGGCTCTGATGGGCCTTTTTCTCACGGCCCAGAGGCTTTTAACTCATGGATTGCGAGTAGTCGGGGAGGTAGCTGACTGTGAAATATACTTGAATCCAGTCAATTCTTTTCAGAGGGTTTTCAATGACAACCGAAATTGGCCCTTAAAGAATGAAACAGAAACGTTCCTTTGTCCAAAGGGAGACACACATGGAGACTTACGACATCGCACGAGCCGTTCAGAAGCAGTGATTCAGGAGAATCTATAGCTAATAATCTAACAAACAGAAGAGGGTTGCATTATGCTTTAAAATAGCACCGGAAGCTGTGAGAGAGAAAAGGGCAGCATTAATTCTGACATCACTGCTGGCAGTCAGACACCCCAGGTAACTCTGCTCAAAAGGAAAGTGATTTAAATATAGAAGCTCAAAGAGAAGGCTGTTTACCTCGCAGAACATTCACTGCTGCTAACCCAGGCTTGTCTCCAGGGGTCAGCTCCTTCTCCAACATGGGAGCTGCAGCAAACCTGACACTGGGGGAGGGGAAAGGAGGGGAGGCCAGAGGCTTCAGTGGCAATAAGATGATTTAGGTCAGACAGAAGAAAGCCTGCAACCCAATGAAAGCTATGCCTTTGGCAACACCTCCGGTGCACTTCCAAAAGAAACCGGGCATCAATAATCATGATAATTGAAATATAGCCTGAAAGTGAAGAAACGAATGCACAAACTAGACACCATCTAAACTAGGAGTAGAGGTGTTTCCTACTGAGGGTCATGGACCCACAGGAAGAAGAAATCAATGGAGGGCCTCACACAAATAAAAAGCAACCCAATTTAATGTTAAGAAACATAAAATATTTTTTTAAAAACCATTCAGCTACTTCCTAAAAACAGAGTAAAGAATATTAAACTGTACTCAATAAACAGTAAGAATATCCTTCAATTTTAAAGTATGTCAAGTTACAAGAGAAATTAAGGGAGAAAAATGGAAGAGAAATTATGCCTGAGATTGTGTTTAAAACCAGCATGAATTTCTTTGTTCTGACTCCTTCCCCATCAAATCCAGATTTTTGGTCCTGCTGTTCCCAGATCTTCTATGCCTTTCCTGACACTGATCAGCTAGAACAGCAGCTGACCAGAGGAGGTTTTGTCTGGCCACAGGTGTCCAAGGGTCTGATGAAATGACATGATGATCACCCACATTTGGCCCTTGAATGGAAGTTCTCTACCCTGCACTCAAATCTATCCATTTGGCCCACTCAGAAAAGCTCTCTATGGGGCATTTTAAGAGACCTGGAGCAGGGCTTCCCAAACTGGGTGAGCATCAGAATCTTCTGGAAGCTTTTGAAACACATCACTTGCTTCCCGGTCACACCTAGTGCATCAGGATGGGCCCGGATACCGACAGGAAACACAGCCCTAGATTTTGGTATGACTAGGCTTTCTCAACCTCGGCCCTATTGATATATTGAGGCCAGTTAATTCTACGCTGTGTGGGGCTGTCCTGTAGATGCAGGATGGTTAGCAGTATTCCTGGCCTCTATCCACTACCCGCCAGTTACCCCTGCCAAACAGGTCTCCAGACCTTGCCCAACAAGTCCCAGGGGAGAACCACCTTCTGGTCCTTTGTTGACGCTGTTCCGTGCACCCCCCTGAGAAATGAGTTGCTGAGCCTCAGTTACCCCATCTGCCTAATGGGCTCAATACCCACAGGGCTCTGTGCCCCCTTGACTCGGTGGGCCTTTGCTTCCTGAAGATCTCCTAGCCTCTTAGGAAAGCCCCTCATCCTGCTGAAATTTTGGTCTAAGTGGCTGAGAAAGATGTTTGTTTCAGCTCAGATTCGGGGGTTAGGGAAGGGAGGACCAGTCCACGGGGATACCACAACCACCCTCTCTTGGTGGAGCCTGCCAACCCTCTCGCTCAACTCATAGGCTGTCTCCCTCCTTTGCAGAGAAAAACTGTTCCTACTTCAGGCATTTTAACCCAGGCGAGACCTCAGAGATCTTCGAAGTCACTACTCAGAAAGGTGAGCCGGTGGGGGAAGGCGGGGAGGGTCAGGAAGAGCGACTCCTGGCCAGGCTGCTGAGCCAGAAAACCATTTGGCACAAAAGCCCTGACTTCTCTGCTTGCAGCGCAAAGCGGCTCCGGCCTGATGCTCTGCGCTCTGAGCCCGCAGCCCTGGGCGCCGGCCGTCCTGAGCTCTCGGGCCATCAGGCCTCGAGGGAGCCTGTAGGGAGAGGTTTCCGGGGAGGCCCCGCAACCGTCTTCCTGCCGAGCCCGAGGGAGGCCGGAGTGACGGGAAAATGCAACAGTACCCCAACCCCCTGTGCTGGTCTTCGGGGCTGCTGGGGCAGAGGGTGTGGGGAGCTGATGCCCTCCGTCGCCTATCGGTCACCCCCCGGGGGAGTCAGGGCAGCCGCCCAGGGCTCTGGGAGCACGTGTGCCCCGGGGGCCTTCCGGGAAGCACCTCGGCGCGGTGCCGACCCTGCCCAGGGTGTGGGCACGCACGCCGCACACGCGAGCCCACTCGCTCTGGCACTCTGCACACGTGTGGCGCGGGTGCACACACACGATCACGCACGGGGCTCTGCAACAAGCCACACTTGCAGCGGCTGCTTGGCGTCCCAGGACAGACCACCCCTCCACCGGAGCCCGCCCTCGGCGCCCTGGCTCGCAGGAAGCTTTCTGTTCCAGAAAGGCCTGCGGCCACGTGACTCCCGCCTGCTGCCAGGCCTCTGCCCCGTGGGGAAGAACCTGCAGCTTAGCGCCTACCCCCCTCCGGGAGTGGGAAGGGGGTCTTGTTGCCATCCTGGCCCCCCCTTCCTCCCCCCCCCCGCCGTGTGACTCTGAGTGAGGGGTTTCATCTCGGACCCTCAGCGTGCTCCCCAGGGAAATGGGCACAAGGACGCGCGGCACCGCTCCTCGGGCCGCCCAGAGGCCGCCGCTGAGCCGCGCTGTGGCACCCGCGCCCCTGTCCCGCAGAGTACAGCATCTCGGCCGCCGCCATCGCCATCTTCAGCCTCGGCTTCATCATCATGGGGACCAGCTGCGCGCTTCTGTCCTTCCGGAAGAAGCGGGATTACCTGCTGAGGCCGGCCTCCCTGTTCTACGCCTTCGCAGGTAGCGTGGGGGGCCCTGCCCGTGCGGCCAGGCGGCGGGGCAGGGACCGGGGACCCGCGCGCGGCCCCGGGGAGGCTCTGGGCAGAGGGCCCTGAAGGTCCCGCTCGGCCCGCAGGCCTGTGCGTCTTCGTGTCGGTGGAGGTGACGCGGCAGTCGGTGAAGCGCATGATCGACAGCGAGCACACCGTGTGGATCGAGTACAGCTACTCCTGGTCCTTCGCCTGCGCCTGCGCCGCCTTCGTCCTCCTCTTCCTCGGCGGCCTGGCCCTCCTGCTCTTCTCCCTGCCTCGAATGCCCCAGAACCCCTGGGAGTCCTGCATGGACGCCGAGCCCGAGCACTAGCCCTCCCGGAGCCCCAGCGCACGCACACACACACACACACACACACACACATACACACACACACACACCCGGGGCTTTCCCCTCAGGAAGCCAAGCCTGGCCCAGAACGTTCTAGAGAGGAGGTGGGAGTTTTACCTCTCCCTGGTCCCACCTACCCCAGGACAGGTGCTGCTGCTTCCCTCTCTGAGCCCCTCTCTGGGCTGTGACAGGCTCCCCTGGGAATCCGGCAAGTGGACATGATCCACACCTGCCCAGGGTGGGAAGGAGAGAGCAGGGGTGGCAGGTGCACGGGTGTCTGGTGGGGACCCCCCCTTCCCCTGGAGCTCCAGGTGGTCCTCGCTGAGCCAGTTGTCTTTGATAAGCTGGGGCCAGGTGTCCTCCGTGAGCCCTGTAGGGACGCCCTGTGCTCATATACCAGTTCTGGGTGTTGCCTGTGTCAATAGCCAACCCCTCCCTCCTTCTCTGGGACAAGATACACCCTTTCCACGGAACTGAACTTCCCCTCCTTGGTTTCCAAGACTCATGAGGAGCGTTTTTTAACTGGGTAGAATCTGTGTTTGAAATAAAAGCTCTTTGAAAACTTACTTTTCCCTTGCACCTTGCATACAAATTGCTTGGATTCCTGACCTCGGGTGGCCCCGAAGGGGGAAGAAAAGCATGTGTCCCGGTCCCCCCCACCCCCGCGTGTGTTGAGGACTTTTGTAGGGAGGTGTGGGGATGAGGTGGGGGGGGGTGATGGGGTAATGGGGTCCTGTTTACCAATAAGACTTAGAGGTTCTGAATTCCAGCTTAGATCGCTGGGCCCTGGGATTTTCTTTGGGAGAAACCAGAGACCGTCTGGCAAGGCAAGGGTGTTAAAAATAAGGAGGCGTTCTTTCCGGAGCCCCAGCATGCTGACCTCCAAGTGCTAACAGCACTCAAGCAGCGGCACCACACTGTCTGATTTCAAGATGCTGGATTTTTGTTGCAAGGAACATCAGGAAGCAGTGCTTAGCAGTTAGACACTTAGGGCCCCCCCCCGGGAGTGTCATAAATTACACTTTCTACCTTCCAAAACCCCGTTCTATTCACCCAGGCCTCAGAGATGGTAAGTCAGACACGGGGGTAGCGCTCAGTCCTCTACAGCTGGGGTTGCAAACTACAGCCCGTGGGCCAAACCTGGCCCGCCGCCTGCTGTGATACAGTCCACAGGCTAAGAATGGTTTTTACTCCTCCAAATCGTTTTTAAAAATCAAAAGAATATTTTATGATATTTGGAAAGTATTTCCATTTCAGTGTCCGTAAGTAAAGTTTCGCTGGAACTGTCAAAGAAAAAGTCACTCAAGGGCACCTGGGTGGCTCAGTCGGTTAAGCTCCTGCCTTCGGTCCCAGGGTCAGCTCCCTGCTCAGCAGGGAGCCCGTTTTCCCTCTGCCCCTCTGCCTCTCTCTCTCTCTCTGTCTCTCATGAATAAATAAATAAAATCTTAAAAAAAGAGAAAAAGTCACTCAAGTGGTGTAAGGGCATATTTTAATCAGTAATATACTCTTGCAATAGGGTATAAACTGTGACAGGCTGTTTGGCTCGCACTACCTGGCCCTTTATGGAAAAAATTTGCTGACCCCTGTTCTGGAGTAACCATACACTCATCAGCCAGCTAATTCACCCTTCGATGGTCCCATCTGTGATGGGAGAGAAAAGAGACCCATTCATTCTGCTTAGAACAATTTAAAGGGAAGAAGCATGAGTCTGGGGGCACCTGGGTGGGGGTCGTGGTGGGGCTTGTCCAGATGGCTCCGTGTTGTCTCAGGGGTTTGGGCTGGGCTGGCAGGGGTGGCTGAGGAGCCTGGGGGACAGAGAGCCAGCCCAGCCTGCTTTCCAGCCAGGGGTGGTGCAAATGGCTGGCCCACGACTGTGAAAGCAAAAGGGTCAAAGAGAGCAGGGTGACATAAATGTCAGGAAGCCAAAGCCGGGAGCTGCAGAGAAGGGGGGGGCAGGTGAGTCCTGGAGGAGGCTGCACAGCCCCACGTGGCCCTACAGCCACTGGCGGGCCACTGTCCCAAAGAGGCAGAGACAGAATCCGAGAGCAAATGTGCTCCAGGTAGAATGGGAAAACGGAAGTCTGGGCCAGCCAGGGAGTTGGGGCCACGGTTTAGGAGTAGGAAGAAAGACAGACGACCTCATCCCGCAAACTCCATTCTGGAAGTCAGTGTTATCATTGTTTTTATTATGATGATGACTTTTACCAGAATTAGACCAGTGTGCATCTTAGGTTCCTACATGGGTGCCCGTGTTTTCGGCACCGAAGACCCCTTCTGAGTGGAATACCAACTGAACAGAATACGTTTGGTTTCCCAGAACTTGAACTCTTTCAAGAGAGTCCTAGGTGCACCCGAAACTGCTTTGCACACAAAAGCATCTGAGGGTAGCTGCCAGAGAGCCACGCATTCTCGCATCTGCTCCAGCTTCTGCTGTGGAGAAAAATATGCCACAATAAAGCAAAACAGAGCCTGATGCCAAAAAGGAAACAGATCCACCAAACCAAGGAAGGAAAACATGCTTTTCTCCCCAGCCCACTGACCTATGCTTGCCAGGAAGGATGTCCAGAAGGGGCAGTTGGTCCAGCTTGCTCCGCTTGGGTTGGGCTCAGGATTCAGGGTGCCCACTGGACTTCAGTGCAGGGTTCAGCCAGGCCACGCTCTGAGGGCCCCAAAGCGAAGCACCCACACAGGCCTTCCGACCCCTTGCTCGGGTGTGTGTATGCATTTCACGACCATCGGATCAAGGTCTCACACACCTTCGCTCTCTCGGCTCTTTAGAATTCACTGGATTCCATGAGGAGCCAGGACTGGCAATTCGGTAATAAATATTTTTGAGTGTGCGATTTTTTTAAATCACGGTAAAATAGACATAGCATAAAATGTACCATCTTAACCATTTTTTTAAAGATTCATTTATTTATTTGAGAGAGAGATAGTGGGGAGGTGTAGAAGGAGAGGGAGAAGGAGAATCTCAAGCAGACTCCATGCTGAGCGAGGAGCCTGACATGGGGCTCCATCTCACAACCCGGAGACCATGACCTGAACCGAAGTCAAGAGTCGGACGCTTGACCAGCTGAGCCACACAGGTGCCCCACCATCTGAACCATCTCTAAGTGTTCAGGTCAATAAGATTAAGTACATTCACATTGTCATGCAACCCATCTCCAGAACTCTTCATCGTCCCAAACTGAAACTTTGCCCCCACTAAGCAACTCCCCACTCCCCCTCCCCAAGCCCCTGGCAACCACCATTCTCCTTTCCATCTCTATGAATTTGGCTCCTCTAGGGACCTCACAGAAGTGGAATCATATAGTATTTGTCCTCTCCTGTCCGGTTTATCTCACTTAGCATAATGTCCTCAAGCTTCATCCATGTGGGAGCCTGTGTCAGAATCTCCTTCCTCTTTAAGGCTGAGTGATATTCCATTGTGTGACTGACTCTACCACGTTTTGCTTATCCATTCGTCCATTAATGGACACTTGGGTGGCTGCCACCTTCTGGCTCTTGCAACTAATGTTGCCATGAACAAGGGTGTTCGAGTATATGTCTTTGCGACTCTGCAATTCTTTTGGATCTCTACCAAGTGTGACATTTTTTAAGTCAAAACGATTGCAAAACATCCATGATGAACACAGTGTCAAGAGCTGACTTGGAGACAGGATCCAGATTATCGATTTTTCCTACTGTCACGCTCCTGTGACTTGGCATCACGGTGGAAAGCAGCCACAACCGTCCCCATGTACACGGGAGAAAACGGAAGCAGGCCTGCTGCTTTCCCAGTGTCTAACCAGGGCCCTTTACCAGTCAGTCCTTACCCGACCTCTGTCCAGTAACTGGGGCAGGGAGGGGGTGGGGTGAAAAGAGACATCTCACTCACCCTCTCTTTGGCTAACACATACAAGGTCCTGACCAAGTGGTTGGGTTCTTACTAATCCCTCCTTGAGACTGAAACTTTCAAGGATCTGCGTGTATCTCGATTTTTCCCGGCTGCCCCAATAAAGATGGATTTTCATCACATTCTACAGCAATATTTCCCCTGCCAGTGTGGCCTGTCCCATTTGGATCAAATATTTTACTTACAAATTCATTTCTAATTTATACCCTGCCCACTTTCAAAAAAGACCTGAAGGAGAGACAGGGACTAAGGACCCCGTGATATGGAACACAGCTATTACCTGGTGCTGTGCAGGTTGGGAGGGAGCTGCCCACGGCCCCCTCTCGCCCACATTTCATGGTGTCACTCGTTTGCAGCCACCGAGGCCATAAATTCATCCCCACACGAGGCATGGCTCCTGCACGGTAAAGAAAGTTAACTGAGCTCATCGCCATTACCAGGGGCGATGCTCTCTGCCTTCGGCTGGAACATGAAAGACCTGACCTCTTGGAAATTGTCGATTTGGGTTTAGGCTTGCCTCTCTCTTCGCCCACAAAGTGGTCCTGGTAACCCCACGAAGATGGAGGAGGGGGGATTTGCAACCACTACCGGAGCGTCCTGGGCTCTGAGTTTAGGGAGCTCAGATATCAATTCCCAAGTCACTGCTTTACACTGCGGACGTCCTCCCCAGCCCACTCCGCCAGGATGATATGGTCGCAGCAGACACACGTGGCATTTCCCAGGGCCTGGGAGCCACCAAGCCCTAATGAGGCTAATGAACACAAGTATGTGGTCTACCTAGAAAGGTCCAGGAGGCAGGGAGGTGGCGACATGTGATCCTCTCAAGGGGGAAACGAGACACAGCCACCAAGGCCAGCCCTGCCTCAGTGAGTGGCCACGGGACACCATGACAAAGGAGGCCGAGGGTGAGACCAGGGGGACAGCCGGCAGTTGTCACAAGAGGCCATGGCAATGACAGAAGCCGAGAGGCTCGCATGCCGACTCCCCAGATCCGGGCAGCAGACTCTTGGCCGAGAAACGGGCTCCAGGAACTCCCCAGTGCCACCGTTGTGTGGGGTTCACAGAAGTGACATTTACCGCTGCGGGAGGGCGCAGAAGTCTGGCTAAAAGAAGC